AGCGCCCGCCAATCCCCGTGCAGGGGGCGGGGCGCGCCGGAGGGGCGGGGCTGGAGGGGCCCGCGCCGGGGGGTGAAGTTGCGAACAACTTTTTCTCATCCCCGCCGGGCCGGGCCGGGCCGGGGGCGGGAGGAGCCGCGCCGGGGCCCCCCGCCCCCCTGCTGCAGGGCAGAGTCGGGAGGGGAGGCCGGGGGGGGCCCAGCAAGCTCGCTCAGGGTGGCCCGAGTCAAACTAACTTGACTGCTTTCTGAGCAGGCTTAAAAAATGCAAGCAGCTGCCTGTGCCCAGAGTTATTAAAAAAGAAGAAAAAAATGGGAGAAAAACATAAAGGCAGCGCCCTGGTACATTTGCAGAATGAGCTGATTGCGGTGCCGCGATGTCCGTGTCTGTGAACCATCGCTTCCCCTAGCGTGGGGGGTTTGATGTCGCAGCATGACCGTTGCTTTTTTGCTGGCAGAATAAACGCCTTATTCATGTAGATCTAAGCTTTAGCTGGGGGAAGGCAGCTTGGTTTGAAGTGTCCAGTGTTACCTAAGCAAGGAGAACAAATTTTTAATTCTCATCTGCACTGCTGCAATCCCTTATGAGTCTCAAAAAGGCTGTAAAAAAGCAGCAGTTCCTCTGTGGAAGCACCCAGCACACGAGAGAAAATGGCACAGGTCGAGAGATGGATGTTACCGGTCTGCCCAGTGATGCTTGGCAGATCTAGAGCTAGACAAAGGTACATTTGCTAAGGACAGAAGTGTGGGATTTGCAGCATAGCTGTGTTTTGAGGTGCACCACCAGACAGACAAGGTGGTGGAACCATCCAGCCTATGGAACATGCAGACCGAGAGTATCCTAGGCAGTAGGAGAGGGTGTGCTTGACAAAAGCCCCACAACAATGCCTGCTTTTCCTTCATGCTGGCCTACCAGAGAGAAGCTGTGACCAAACACAGTCTCAGGCCAAATATTATCAAGCCTATCCCAGCTTTCCTTTGAGGAGAACAGGGGATGGTTCTGTTCTATTCAAATTCTTGCTCCTACTCTTTAACTCAGGATTGTGCTCCTATTAGCAACTAAGCAAATATACTGATCTGTGCCTTCCTCCAGGGCAGTTCAAGACAAGTTTGGCTCAGGGAACTCCCAACAGCAATTGTTGGATAAATGTTTCCTATCCTCTCTCCTGCTCAGGAACAATGTGTCCTTACGCCAGTAAGACCATGGAGCTGCAGCTTTTGTTATATATGTTAAGAGAAGTTGACAGTTATAAGCAGGCTTGCTAAAATACATTTACACCTCTAAAGTTTTAAAAAATAATACTGTGTTCTCCAAAATGTGTATGGGCAGGATTAGCTACTAATGGCTGCAACAGTTGCTTCTGGGAAAGGAGTCTATTCTTCATTCCCTGTTATAGTTTTTCAGTTTGTTAAGGCTTGTTACCTGAATTCCTTACTTTTCTACACTTAGTGACTAAGCATGTTTTTGTGATACTCTTCATCTAAATCATGGTGCAAAGTTCCATCAATTTGTCTACACTATTGTTTGTTCTTTGGCTGTTAGTAACCTTCAGAAGGACTATGCTTTCCAGTTCTTCTTTTTCTTTCTTTCCTTGTCCCATCTTTCTGTAGCACTTCATGAGCAGTTGAGTCATCTATCTGTACGAATCACCTTAAAGCCTCTAATTTTCTATTTTACTTATGTGACTGACTTAATCTGCAAAGGATTTTGTGATGCTTACTATGAAAAAGGTTGGGTGAAAGGAGATGTTTCACCAGTGGGCAGTGACAATGCAGAGAAAATAAAGCAACTTCAAGTTTTCTGCACCAGTGCATCACTCATTACGATTTCTGTACATAGACACAAGTTCAGACCTAGTAAAATGGTATTGCAAGAAATGATCTTTCAGCAATAGGGAGGCAATGGCAAAAACTATTCAGAGTAAGGAATATAAAATCAAGTGGCAAGACCTTGACAGGGTATTCATTTACCAAATAGGGTGGATGGCATCAGTGGTTCCCTTGTTTTCTACTGGCCCCATTTGTTAAGAGTCATTCATCTGAACCATGGTACAAATGAAATTATTATTGGGAGCTCTGGTATGTCCTATAAAAGCTGTATGACTCCAGTATACTTAGAACGAACGTAACATAGATTCAGAGTGAAGCAAAATGAAACAAACAACAACAGCAACAATAGCAACAACAAAAGTGGAAGGGTAAGCAGAAAGGAAGAAGAAAGGACAGCTGTATCCCAGATTATTTCTTAGGGAGATAAGAAGAGAGTAAATTTATCACATGGAATGATGCTGCTAGGCCATCTCAGATGGCAGAAATGTGCAACAGGAGGATGAAGGAAGAACGTCTCTTGGGCATGTTACCAAATTCAAAGGTGTTTTTTCCTATTTAGATCCACTACAAGATGGAACACAGTCACTGAAAGTGGCGTTGGCAGTCTCAAAGTGGCAGATTGTGGCCTAAGAAAATCTTGGGCTTCTAAGTCGGTTTAGGACATCCGGACAGCTTTCAGGGGGCAATAAAAAAAATAAAAAAAAAAAAAAAAAAAAAAAAAAAAGAAAAAGGAAAAAGAAAGCAGAGGGAGAAAAGGGAGAAAAGCAGCAGCAGCAAAATCTAGGTTTCTGAAACACAGGTTACCCCAAAGTATCCAGAGCCTCTGTAAGTAGCACCAACCTGGTTTCAGGAGGCAGAAGACTTGTGCTTATCTCCTGTTTTTACCTCAATATAAATTCACAAGTGTTAGCTTGCAAAATTACTTCAACTTCCTCACAACAGGAGGAATTCTCATCAGCACTTAAGCACAGGCAGCTACCTTAGCCAGGTTGTCAGCCACACAGAACAAATGTGCTGCGCAAGACTTCGCTGTGTCTGAGAAATTGTCTGTTGCAACCACTTAGTGGTTCAAAAGGTTTTCTTTAGAAATCTCCTAACCACTAGTGTTCCAAGTGTCCCACGTGGTCTGTGGCCATAAACCTTCACTAACAAAGTCCTGGCAAGTCCAAGATACCAGAATAAATTTACAATGCTAAATATTGGTGCCAACTCTGGAGATGTCTGCCTAGACTACCATGAATAGTAAAGAATTGTTAGGGACAAACATCTGTCTTTTTACACATTTAAAAATAAATCCAGTTCAACTTCCAAACTAAGCCGGTGAGGAGCAGCATCCCTACATGATGTCTTTTTCTGCTGGTTTTAAGCAGTGCCAATATAATTTTCCTTGTTTCCTATCCCATCTGATAGAAAACTCTTCCCATGGGGGGAGGGAAATCAAAACAAAACACCCCCTCCCCACCCTACCACTTACTTTGGGTGCCTGAGGGTGAACATTTTCAGATTACCTGTTGCAAGATTTACAGTCCTCTTTGCCCTTGGATGAAAAAAAAGCATCACTTCCCTCTTCTCCTTCCACCAGCTGGAAGAAACTTGTTGGGCATCACAGGCTATTCTGCTGACTGGCACTGGAAGTGCCCTGGTGCAACCACCTAAATGGTGAGATTTATCCCAGTTCCATTTAGTAAATGACTTCTGTGACACTTTCAACCTCAACATTTTGAAGCATACTGACATATAGTCTTACATGATCAGGCAGGCTGTTGAGCTAAGAACATCAAAATTTGCAATCCCTAGAGCTTAGTGGGGAGATGCCAGGAGCCTCGGGTGAAATGATGCATTTGCGTGTTTTACATAATGATTTGCATAATTAGAAATAAAGTAAGCTCACAGTATTATATCTGCTTGCATTTCTATCGGTCTGATAGATTGCTCTAAATTGCATCTTGTCTGAGCTCACCGAAGAAATCTTACTCTGTAATGAGGTGGAAGAGCCTGATATTTTACAGGCACAGACCAGGGAAGGCAAGCCCCTGCCCCCCACCATGGAGCCTTAATTTGAAATTAGATTGATGACATAAGAAACTGATTGAAAAGAGCATATGGAGAGGGCACAGGTGACAAAGGAAGGGGATACAGCTCGAGGGGATGTGGTTTCCCACAGTGAGAGGTAAAACCTGGTTGCATCATGGATTTGTAAGATAATTATTAGCTTATGAAATAGTATCCCAGAGGACAGGGAAGCAGCAGTGCCTTCTACATTTACGATCAAATTGGGGAAAACATTAGGAAACATTCACAAAGATAGGCTATCAGGCTGATGATTGCTTTCATCTCCCAGATCCATGAATAAGAAAACAAAACCTGAAGTTGATCTGCTCATCCCCACTCAGTGAGGACATCAGTTACATTTTAACCCTTGCATGATACTTTGAATTCTCCTGTTTCTTTAAAGTGAATTTAGTCTGCTTTCTCATAATCCAGGGTTGCAGAGGCCCTTCAGTATAAAATGCAGGCATTCCTTCCCTATTTCACTTTCTTAAGCTAGGTGTTTTTTTAATAAGACAGATTCTCTGCTGGCAGCAGTGTTATCAGCCAGGCACTGTAATAATTCAGTCTGGGTGCAATAATATCACAGTATGAAGAAGGGGAAGCTTTCAGAGACCACAGGAAAAGACTGCATTCATGTCTGCTGTCCTCTTTCCATCATTGAGGGAGATTCTGCTTGACGATCTGGATGTAGCATAAGCACATGCACAGCTTACTTTCTGATCCTTTAAATCTTAAAATGTGCTTTTGTCCTGGCATCATGCTTGGACGCTTCCCAGACTGTTGTGGCTAATTTTGGCCAAATCCATATACACTGGGATATGTGACTTATCAGCCTGGGCAGCACCTGGAGTAGAACCTGAGACAGAGCTGCCTGAGGCTTCCTGGCCCAGCCACCTTCTCTGAGATGCTGCAGGAGTTCCAGCCTCCTGGGTGCTCGTGCTTATTCTGAACTTCTCCCAGCGCCTGTGAAAATGACTTACATGTCTACAAAGGTCTCTACAGAGTCACTCCTTGCTTTGTAACCCTAGAAGTATTACAGATCCAAACAAAAACAAGTACTCCCTTCCCCACTTGCTCTCACCACCCTGGAATGTTTTTCAGGAATTTGGCTAGTGTCTTTCCGTGGTTCAAACTCCCCTTCCCAGAACTGTATTCCTCCAGATTTCTCTTCCACACCATGCATCCTTGACCTAGTCTGGACTCTCTGTCAGTGTAAAGGAAAATAGGCCTTTTTGAGAATTTAAGGTTAGTTAAGAATTAGAAAAGAAGATGTTGAATGTATGATTAATAGAATGCAGGTGTTGTAAACTAATGTCAGACTTGGAAGCTGCTTTTCATTGTCCTTTGTATAGTCCTCACCATGACTGGTTTAAAACCCAGTCCAGCTGAATCAATAGAAAATTAATCTTCTCTCATAATCTTAAGACATGATAATAAATAAGAAATAAGCGATTAACTTATAATAGCCATTTGTTAAAGGCTAAGGCTAGACATAGGTTAATAGAACAACCGGGGTTCTTTGTAGAACTTCAAAGGTGAACAATGAAGAAGATAAGTGATTGCAGTGACCAGAACATGCTGCGATGAACTCGTGCACCAGTGGACTGTAACTTCTGAAGAGGAACTGAAAACAAGGCAATGATAATGATCCACTGAATCTCGGCTTTTGTGGACTTTTGAAAAATGGTAAAGAATTAAGGAACTGAGAGTTTATGGAAAAACACCAAGAGCTTTTAAGAAGAAATCCAATTACATTATGTACATCAAGAAAATATATAGTAGCCAAAAAATGTGTCTTTTGCCAATCAGTGAGGTGATGGCCCAACTCTGAGCTGTCAATAAAGCAAACCTAGAGTTACCCACTGACTGATGAAAATCCTTTAACAGTCAGACATGCCTTTTCCTCCAAAACTCAGTGATTTTGTTCCTCCTATATGATTACCCCTTCAGTAAATCCCCCTTCAGTTTCTGAGGCCAAAGACAAGTACTAACGCCTGATCTCTAGGTCTTTTCTGAAGGAACTACACAATTATGAAGCCTAGTTGTCTGCAGAAAAGCTGGAGAAAAATAGTCCTTCCTTCCTTCCTTCCTTCCTTCCTTCCTTCCTTCCTTCCTTCCTTCCTTCCTTCCTTCCTTCCTTCCTTCCTTCCTTCCTTCCTTCCTTCCTTCCTTCCTTCCCTCCTTCCTTCCCTCCTTCCTTCCCTCCTTCCTTCCCTCCTTCCTTCCCTCCTTCCTTCCCTCCTTCCTTCCCTCCTTCCTTCCCTCCTTCCTTCCCTTCCTCCCTTCCTCCCTTCCTCCCTTCCTCCCTTCCTCCCTTCCTCCCTTCCTCCCTTCCTCCCTTCCTCCCTTCCTCCCTTCCTCCCTTCCTCCCTTCCTCCCTTCCTCCCTTCCTCCCTTCCTCCCTTCCTCCCTTCCTCCCTTCCTCCCTTCCTCCCTTCCTCCCTTCCTCCCTTCCTCCCTTCCTCCCTTCCTCCCTTCCTCCCTTCCTCCCTTCCTCCCTTCCTCCCTTCCTCCCTTCCTCCCTTCCTCCCTTCCTCCCTTCCTCCCTTCCTCCCTTCCTCCCTTCCTCCCTTCCTCCCTTCCTCCCTTCCTCCCTTCCTCCCTTCCTCCCTTCCTCCCTTCCTCCCTTCCTCCCTTCCTCCCTTCCTCCCTTCCTCCCTTCCTCCCTTCCTCCCTTCCTCCCTTCCTCCCTTCCTCCCTTCCTCCCTTCCTCCCTTCCTCCCTTCCTTCCTTCCTTCCTTCCTTCCTTCCTTCCTTCCTTCCTTCCTTCCTTCCTTCCTTCCTTCCTTCCTTCCTTCCTTCCTTCCTTCCTTCCTTCCTTCCTTCCTTCCTTCCTTCCTTCCTTCCTTCCTTCCTTCCTTCCTTCCTTCCTTCCTTCCTTCCTTCCTTCCTTCCTTCCTTCCTTCCTTCCTTCCTTCCTTCCTTCCTTCCTTCCTTCCTTCCTTCCTTCCTTCCTTCCTTGTCTATCTAGCTGTGCCATTTGCTTAGCTGCCATTATGGAGACTTACATCTCTTATCCATGAACACTTCTGCATGCAGCTCTAACAACATAAGGCTGATGGACATATGTAACAATTTAATGAAAACCAGCCAAGTTTCTCAAGTTTGTGCATGAATTTCCTATCTCACTGCAGATGGTGCCACAATATTTGTGAATACTGAGTTCTGTTTTGCTTCCAGCACCAGGGCTTGTATGGACATAGTGACTGGTTGCTCTGATCTCTCAGCCATTGATACTCTTTGATTGTGAAGGATGCAATAGTCAAATACATTGTGCTAGGTCTTCTGTCATTTATGCCCAACCTCTGTCTTTCTGTAGACTCATCTGTTTGAGATTGTATCATAAATCCTCTTTAATGCACAGACTGAAGGCTTGCACTTTTCCTATGTGAATTAATGGGTAAGGTTCCACTTACTTCAATTAAAACAGAGCAGGATACGCATCAAAGCCTCCAATTCTGTTTATGTAGGAAGAAGAACCGGATTTAGCCCAAAATAGGAGATGGGAAAGACTCATTATATTGTTTAGACCTTGCTATTACATATGCTAGTGGTATAATTAGTCTAATTTAAAAAGCCTTGCGTGATGGAACTATTGCCATCTCTCTTGGGACATGGTTCTGCCATTTAACAATCATGCTGGCAGGAAGCCACTGCCTGATGTTCAAACAAATGGTTTATCTTCACTTGATTAAGACTCACTAAAGATGAGTGCAGCCTCCAGAAATATGTTGTTCCCAAAGCTCAGAAAACAAGGGAAGAAGAGCTGTTATACAATACAGAACCTGCCAGATGTCTAAAGAGGCTAAGGAATTCCTAAGCCTCTGTTTACAAAATCCTCTCTCCTCCTCCCATGAATGCTTAAATTACCAATCATGGCTACCATCCTATGTTTAGTGTAAAATTTCCTTAACTGACTCCACTTGAAAAGTTGGATTGCAACTAGAAACAAATATTTTAATTACTATAATTTTCCCTCTTCCCAATAGGCTTTCACAAATTAACCATTGTCCTCCACTACTTTTAAACAGAATTGTTTCTTCATTTGGTTCCAGTCATGCCCTGGAGATCCACTTGCCAAGGTGGTTCCCTGCTTTGAGGCCATATAAAAGTTTGCTGCATGGAGCTACTGCCTGCTGCATCTCCCTGCAACTGGGCAATGCTGCTGTAAGGAGAATTTCTCTTTCCAAGAGAGCCCCTGGGCAGTGGTGACCCGAAGTGCGTACCAGTGAAGCAGTACTGCTAAGGAAAAGGTGCAGAGTGCTAATGCCAACTGGGGCTGTGAGGTTTGTGGACCAGCATCACACACTCTCCTTTACCTTTTTTTTTTACCAGTTATTTCTAAACTATAATTTCAACCTCTGTGTCAGCCTGCATTGACTAGACTCTCTTGGACCTGGGACCCATGGTACTCTGAATGGCACTGGATATATTAAGCTGATTTCCTTCTGTTGAGGGAGGGGAACCAGAATGCAGCACTTCAAATAAGCTCCCTCCTCATGGAGTCTCTGAAGGGAATGAGGGCCCATTTTCTTAATTACATGTTCATTAGTATGTTTAGTGCTCTCCTCCCTCTCTTCCCCCAGCTCTGCCACCTGGGAGTTCCTACTATGTTACTGGAAAGCCACAGACATTTATTTAAATACCACATAGTCAGATTGGAATGAAAAAGCTATGAAGCTTCCCCTCTTTAATACTTTTTGAAATTATTTATGGGCTATGCTTCTTGCCTACGTAGAAGGTGCCTTCTGAGATTCCTGCAAGTCAATGCAGAAATAGCTATTTGAATTGAGCAATAATTAGAAGCATGTGGAGCAAAGCAAAGCATCAGAAAAATCCCATTCTGCTAAAGAAACACTGCTGTCTGAAATAGATTTCAGCTGCATGTAATGTTTTCTCATATGGGCTGAAAAGAAATATCATCCTGTGTCTGGTTTGCACCTACTAAAGCTGGGAAATTCGAAGTAGCATCTGTAATTCTGCTCTGAATTCAGTCTAATACCACATGGTGTTTGCAGCCCCAGTGTTTGCCGGGACCACAGTTACAATTTCTTATATTTTACAGACTGCAGAGCAATGGAGATACAACTTCTTCCTGTGAATGTGTGTGCTTTTGTATTTTTTTTTCCTCAGTCTTTGAATGTTTTGTATTGTTTTTTTAAATGCTGAGGTGATGTCTGTGATTTAAGACGTGGTTACAATCTTTTGTAATCCAAAAGCTCAATCTGGGAAAGCTACTGAGAGCTCTCAAATCCTAATTTGCTGCCAAATTCTTACATACATGATGTGGTAGATTGCTTCAGTCTTCTAAAAACAGTAGATCCTGCTCTCTGTGCTCCCACAGATCGGCCCTTTAAGTTTGGAGATAACTGAAAACTCTCAGCACCTCACAGGGAGACCTGCAGTACCCAAAACTCAAGTTTTAACTATTTCTCACTTGCTTAGCTCACACAACTGCAGCTGGATGTGGTTTGCTGTGAGGCTTTTGTTGAATTGTGTTTTTGGGGTGAGGTTATGTTTTTTCAATGACTATAACTTACTGACCTGCTATCTAGCCTTAAAGCCATCTTTTGGTCAGCTGCTACACAATGAAGCCGTGGTTTTAATGATGAATTTGCACATATTTATGCTGCATTTTTCAATAGGTGGGGAACCATACTACACTGTAATGGGGTAATCATTAGGGATTTTAAAAAGCAACAGTGTTGTAAAATTACAAAGCTACAAAATATCTCTGAAAACATAAATTGTTGTAGGACTCTAAAGTGTTCAAAGCTTGTGCTACACAGGATTGTTTACAAACAAGTTTGAGGGTTTTGGCCTGGAGCAGAAGTTACTTCTAGGAAAACAAACAACTGATTTTGGAGGAAATCATGAATGTTGGCAGGTTACTCTGATGCAAGTGAGGGGGCATGTGCTGGGCTTGGTGAGGCTGTGATGTGCCCTGCCCTGCTGCTTGTGACTGGGCTTGAGGCAGCTGTGCAAGCCGGGCAGGGGCTGGTCTCACCAGTGTGGAGAAGAACAAGCATCACAGCAAGACCTGTGGTGTAGGAAGTGATGCTGGGAATGCAATAGCTGGCTCTCTGTTTGACCCTGCCTCCCAGCTCCATGCTGCTGTAGGTGCAGGTTTTTGCCTGGAGTGTGAAAACTGAAATTCCAGCTGCTGATAGCTATTAAAGTGTA